ATTTGTTTGTTTGTTCTCCCTGAAGCAGCACCTTTGGTTTGAAGTGTGTCAGAGACTCCCCTTGGGATAACAAGCCTGCTACAGATCAATTCCTTTGTTAAATTGATGAACTCATATAAGCTTGCAGCATCCAGTGGGCATAACTGGACACTGCAAGTCAGAGGTTCCTAGGGTTGTGTCTGGGACTGGAGATATTGGCTAGAGTCACTCAGTTGCACAATCCAAACAGCAGCTTCCATGCCAGAGGCGGTGCGTGAACAGCTCAGGAGTGGGGGTTCTCACAGCAGAGCAGGGGAAGGCTGGCTCCCAGAATAGAGGGTTGGAGTGACTTACCAGATCATCGGTCCGGATAACACCAGGGGAACATTACAATCCGGACGGCTGTTTTCTCCCTCCCCAGTCCCCGTGGGCGAGAGCCCCTGACTCACCTCCGTAACACATACTGTGACCCGCTGGAGCGTGCAGGTGTGTGCAGTTCAGGTAGCCCACAATCCTCTGCCCTTGTGCTGACCCCAGCTGCACCTAGCACGTGCACATGGAAACGTTGCCAGTTACAAGCTGGACAGGGTCGGGCCCCACACAGCACAGGCCCCATTGCGGGGAGGGGTGGGGGTGCAGGTGTTTGGCCAGGGCGATAGTCAGAGCTGCAGGGAAGGAGGGTCAGTTTCAGCCGTCAGAGCAGGGCATGGCTGGGAGCTGGGAGGAGACGACCCCCCCGCGGTTCACGGACCCACATGTCCGTCACCCCACGGGTGCCCTGGACTCAGCCCTTATTGTCTGGCTGGGGTCCCAGCACCTTATGGGGTGGGAGCCTGGCTCCCGGGGCACATCTAGACAGCCTGCGGCAGCGAGCCCCCAGCGCAGGGCAGGCTCGTCCCCGGGGTCAGAGCCGAGCTCCAGCCCCAGCCATGTCCACACGGCCGGTTGTGAGCGCTCCCACGAGCTCTGCTAGCCCCAGGCTGCCCCGCCGGGCGGACACACCCTGGGTGACTGTTCCCAGCGCTGGGAGGAGGCAGCGCCCTGGACAAACAGAGCAGTTTCCATCCCACGCTGGGGTCGCTGCCGGAGCAGGCGTTTCCAGGCCTGGCTAAGGGGGAGCGAGCGGCTGGGGCGGCAGCGGGGTCAGGTGCCCAGGGGCCTGTTGTCAGAGGCTGAGCCCCCTGCAGCCATCCTGCTGGCTCCCAGCCCCGCTGCCGTGGGCTCTCACTGCTCTCCTGGCAGGGCCGTTCTCGAAGCGCCTGCTCCCCGCCAGGCCCTGTCCTGTCTGGGCTGCAGACACCCACTCTCCCGGAGCCATCCAGCTCCGGTGCCCGAGGGGCGTCCCCCCCACCGGCTGAACAAGAGCATCGGGGGGCCCTGCCCCCGCCACCCACTGCTGGGAGCCCCAGCTCACAGCCCCCTGTCTGGGGATCCTGGGATTTGGGGCAGACGCAGGCAGCTGCTGCTTGTAGGACAGCTGGAAACCAGCTGTTTGCTCCTTCCTGTGGATGGGACTAGGCTGAGGAGGCGGGGCATCGTCCCTCCTCTGCCCATGGGGCGCAGGGGGCCCCAGGGTAACCAATCCCCTGCATGCAGGGGTCACCGGCTGAATGGTGCACGTGTGAACACGGGGGCTCAGACTCAGGGCCTCCCCACAGCTGGGAGGCCAGGACACACGGGGAAAAGGGAGAGGGCCCAGGGTCGCTCGGGGACTCCAGGGCGGAGCCGGGAAGAGACCCCAGGAATCCTGACTTCCAGTCCCCTGCTGTGACCCGCTCTGCCACCCAGGCCCCGCTCTGCCCAAGCAGGCCCAGCGCCCTGCAGAGAGCGGTGGCACGTGCGCGGATGCAGCACTGCGCTGAGCAGGGCAGGGAGCAAATGCCCCAGGCCGCCCTGCAGCGCCTCCTTCAGGCTGGCAGGGGAGAGGCCACACCAGGCCCAAGGTGGTAGAGGGTCCTAGGCACCCCGCAGCTGGAGCAGCTCCTCACCTGCACGGAGAGCAGCCCCTTGGCAGACAGCGCGTCCTCACGGATACCGTTGGGGTAGCAGCGGTACTGGGCGGCCAGCACGGGGTAGCGGCTGGCCAGGAAGAGCCCGCTGTTTAAGACCTTGAGAGTACAACAGCCCTGCAGCCCGTAGGCGCCCACGTCGTACACGATGTGCTCGTAGAAGGGGCTCAGCAGCTGGCACAGCCGGGCGCCCGCCCGCTGGTCAAACACCTCCTGCAGGCACATGAAGTCCACGTCCGGCGGGAAGGGCGCCGAGATCTCCCCGGGCCCAGCCCCTCCCTCCCCGTCGAACTGGTGGCTCCTGGGGCCGGCGAAGCTGGCGCTGGCCTCCCCCTGCGTCAGGTGCTGGCCGATGCGGGCCACGCGCTGTTTGATCTGTCCCAGGTTGCTGTTCTTGGCCAGGCCATTGGGCAGGAGGCACACGTTGGCGCTGACGAAGCTGAAGGCCTGGCCGGTGCCCGGCAGCTCCCAGCCCGCTGGCTGGCGCGAGAGCATGTTGTGTTTGTAGGCGAAGGGCCTGCGGGCAGCCTGAAGGGGGAGCCACAGCAGCAGGCCCAGGAGGGCGACGGGCATGGAGAGGATGAGCAGCAGCAGCAGCAAGGGGCCGGTGACCAGCGCCCGCAGGGGGCAGCGGGGGCAGCACTGACGCTGGCGCCGCTCCGCCGTGGTCTCCTTGAGGTCGAGGAGGCAGTCAGTGGCCCAGTAGCTGGGGAACAGCAGGTGCTGGCCCAGGCTGTACAGGCCTCTCAGGAGCCGGTTCGGGAACGGAGACTCCCGCAGGACCATGCTGCACGGCACCAGGGGCAGGGGAGCCCGGGCGTTCCTGCTCCACCTGCCTCCCGGGGGCTCCGGTCAGACCTCGCCACGCCCCGGGGGTCCCAATGCACGGCCCCGGGGTCCTGCAGGGCTGGGAGGAGCGGCTGATCCCGGACGGCTTTGCCTCCAGGTAGGTGCTGAAGGGAAAGAATGGACAGGAAAGTTTCAGATATGGCAAATTTCACTCGCTGGCTGTGAGACTCTCTCAGACTAGCTCCCTTTCACACACACTCCTAAGCTTCTCGCACTCACTTTGAGTAAATAGAGAAAGATTTAAAATAGTTTTGAAGGAGACAGTGTTTGTAGGTTGTCCGCAAACCATGTTGCATGCATGGGTGGCGTGTGAACCGCCGGCTGAGGGAGGCTAGTTCCCGGCTTGGCCCACCCCTTCTGCCTGTCCTGAGGTCCCAGCCCCTTCCTCCACCAGAGCCACCTCCCCATTCCTGCCCCAGCCCTGGGCTACCCGAGTGCCTCCTGTCCTGGAGCCCCAGCTGGTTGGGTGGTGCACTGGGTGGCGTGAGCACCAGCTCCAGCTGCCCGGACTCTCTGGCCGCAGGCCGGCCCTCTAGCCCCAACCCGACCACAGAGGAAGAGTGCCGAGTGCCGATGGGAAGCAGGAGGTGGGTCTGGGGGCGGAGCATGGGCGGGGCCACACAGGGCTGTGATACCCACTGCCCATGATTGCATGGAAGCTGGAAGAGCAAGGGGGGACATTAGTCCTTTTGCAAAACAAAAGTTCTTTTGCACAGCCAGAGCATTCCCAGTAATGGGAATCTGAGAAGACCAGTAGAGCAGTGGTCTCCAACGTGGGGTGCAGTTTGGCCGGGAGTCCCAGTGGCTTTTATTTATTTATTTATTTATTTATTGCTTAGACAGTTCAGCCGGGAGCAGGGGGTGCGTGTTCAAAATTTTTTTACTGATGGGGTGCGTGATCAAAAAAGTTTGGAAACCACTGCACTAGAGCTTTTGACGTTGCTAAGCTATCCCCACCCAGCATGCAGGAGAAGAGAGAGTGTTCAGTCTTGTTGGAAAGAATAAGACGCCATTCAGCCCATGCGTCGGACTGGATGGGGTACTGTCCTCTATTACCCAAGTGAAACTGGCAAATCCTGAGCCATGATTCAAGTTTGAGCCACAAAACGAAGTTATAAAAACAGGGCAATATACTAAAGCACATGAATAAAATGTGAAACCAAATTAGATATTAAAAGAAAGGTGGAATCTGAATCCTTTATCTAGGGTTTATTACTTCAAATTAATTAAATTCAATCTTATTACTTTATTTTTACATTCATTTAATGTATTGTTTAGTTGTGTTTCATTTTAATTATTTAATTTTAGGGCTGTCAAGTGATTAAAAAAATTAATCGTGATCAATCATCGCACTGTTAAACTACTAGAATACTATTTATTTAAATATTGTTGGGTGTTTTCTACATTTTCAAATATATTTAAGTGTTTCATATGCAATATTAAGCAGTGCATATTTTAAAACAAACTAGTAAGTGCTTGTTGGATTAAAAACCTGGACTATTGGATGTTGTCAAGGACCAAAGATGAGAGTCCCTGTCTTAAGCAATGACCTGACATGCTGTGATAATATGCCCCATATTCTTCATAGAGATATGCTTACGACATGAATATGGCATAACTAAGATATGTTTTAAGCAAGATGGGTCATGTGGTGTCATTGGAAAGGTTCTGATTTACTGAATGTGATTGTCCAATTTGTATGCATGTTTCATTTCTGTATCTGATGTTAGGAATATTGACTGTGTAATAATTACAATTGTGTTTTCACTTGGGGAACGCCCACCGGACAGTAGGCAAACAGCCTGAATGGGCCATTAGGAAGGACAATAAGACTTTAAAGATACTAATCTCCCTCCTTCCTGAGAAGTTTCCTGGGACACTGCTTTGACACTGCAGGGTCAGGTGATCATGTCACCTGGTACAGGACATCTTGAACTGCTTATACTTTTCCAGGGGAAGGGGGTGGGGGTAAACTGGGAAACAAAGGATTCCCGCCATATGCAAATCCCATTTAAGGTTGGGGAGTGAGTTCATCTTGGCTCGACTGCTGAAAACACCACAAGAAATAAAGGAACTAAGCTGGGGAAGGCAGGGGCTGCGCCCAGGCGAGAAAGGTCAGCCTGTGAAAGGAATCCCTGGAGATTTAAGCTGCAAGCAGGGCAGTTTACCTTCAAGAAACCCTGCAACCTGCTTGAACCATTAAGGGTGAGAAATTATTATTTGCAGCCAGTATTCCTTAGTGAATTGAGCTTAGTCTGTGTGTTTTGTTTTATTTGCTCAGTAATCTGCCTTGATCTGTTTGCTATCCCTTATAATCACTTAAAATTTACCTTTTGTAGTTAATAAACTTGTTTTTTATTTATTCTAAACCCAGTTTGTGCAATTCATAACTGGAGGGGGGGGGGGGAAGCTGTGCATATCTTCCTGCACATTGAGGGAGGGGGAAAATGTTATGAGCTTACGTTGTATAGATCACTATACAACGTAAGACAATTTAATTTGGGGTTTACACTCCAGAGTGCTGGGCAATTCCCTGAGCCCTCCCACACAGAGCTGATCGCAGACTGTGTGTGATTCTACAGTTGGGTGTCTCCCTACCTGGGTGCGCTGGAAGGGGGCTTGAGAGCCTGTCACAGCAGCACAGAGTGAGGGGAACCCAGGCTGATGGGACAGGAGGGCTCAGTGGGACCCCAGCACATCAGGTGGCACCCCGGAATGGGGGTCCAACCCATTACACACCCCACCAGGAAAGTCTCACTCTTTGGCCTTGAATCTCACTCTTTGAAGCTGTAAATCACATAAGAACATAAGAACGGCCGCACTGGGTCAGACCAAAGGTCCATCTAGCCCAGGATCCTGTTGTTGGTATATATATAGATATAAGTTTGCAGATGACACTAAACTGGGAGGAGTGGTAGATACCCTGGAGGGTAGGGACAGGATACAGAGGGACCTAGACAAATTGGAGGATTGGGCCAAAAGAAACCTGATGAGGTTCAACAAGGACAAGTGCAGAGTCCTGCACTTAGGACGGAAGAATCCCATGCACTGTTACAGACTAGGGACTGAATGGCTAGGCAGCAGTTCTGCAGAAAAGGACCTAGGGGTCACAGTGGACGAGAAGATGGATATGAGTCAACAGTGTGCCCTTGTTGCCAAGAAGTTTGATTGACATTGGTGAGGCCTCATCTGGAATACTGTGTCCAGTTTGGGGCCCCACACTACAAGAAGGATGTGGAAAAATTGGAAAGAGTCCAGCGGAGGGCAACAAAAATGATTAGGGGGCTAAAGCACATGACTTATGAAGAGAGGCTGAGGGAACTGGGATTGTTTAGTCTGCAGAAGAGAAGAATGAGGGGGGATTTGATAGCTGCTTTCAACTACCTGAAAGGGGG